AGACACGTGAAACACAAATGAAACCTTTTTAAAGATAATAAAAAAAGGTGAAATCTAAAATTAAATTCATAAAAGCATAAAAATGGCCTTGACTTTGCAAAAGCTTTGGTGAACCTTATTTTTGAAATTCAGTGTGGTTTCTAATGTCAGAAAGTTGATACTATGCTCAGTCCATCTGTATATTACTTACTATATTCATCTTTTCACAGAATGGTCCCTGTTTAAGATGTTTTCTCGAACTCTGACAGAGGCTTGTCCTCTTGCTTCGTCTAGTAAAGTCTATGTGGACATCACAGACAACCCTGAGGTGAAACAGAAACAATAAAAATGCTTTCTGCTCTGTGATGCTTTAATGTTTCTGTAAATGGGGAAATAGAACTGGCTAAGAAGCTTTTTAAATTCTAAAATTCATTTCATAACTTTCCACTGTAGTTGACTGCTGTTTTCAGACAGTTTGAGTGTTGTGCTATTTGTCCAACAGGGGGAGCTGTTTGAGTTGAGTCCTGCCACTCATCTGCTCAGCCGTGCTGTGGTGCTGGGAGATCGCAGGACATATTCGGTATATGACCTGACCAGAGCTGAGACATTTGGCCAGTTACGTTCATTCAATCTCCTACTGCGCTGGAAAGGAGACAGTGGTATGAATGCATTTGATAGGTGGAGTCTATCTGATGCTTCTGATGTTTTTTGCATGGTTATTATTCTGAAGAACTGTTTATGTTATTGTTACAAAGTGACAATCTTAATGAACTTCCATCTGTGTTAATAGACCAGTCATGCCAACATCTTCTATGGTTCTTTCACCTTTAGGAGATATGCTGCGTCCTCTGCTGCATGCAGAGCGCTACGTGGCTGGTTTTGGGCTGCAGACAGGGGAAATCCACACCGTCATCTATAATAACCACCCATATCGGGCTTTTCCTGTACTATTAATGGATTCAGTGCCCTGGTACCTGCAACTGTACGTTCACACCCTGACAGTCACCAGCAAGTCCCGTGATAACAAGCCCAGTGAGTAGACACAGACCCACACTAGTATTGGTGCGAAATATAGTGTGTACTCCAAACTTTGTGTGCTTTCCATACATTTATCACTTGTTTTAGGGCAATTCTTCAATTAAGGTCACTTTTGACTACCAGTACTTAAATCATCTTGAAATTTACTATATTTGCTATAATATAGATTTACTTAAAATGACTAAATATTTCTTCTTTCAGGATTATATATATTATATAAGCCATTACGAACTATACTTTTTTTTTTTAATCATCCTTAGTGGACAGAACAAGTCCTGTGCTTAGGAGCACAGAGAATACAGACTTCATAGAACTTTGTGCCTTCTCCTGTAGGTTACATTCACTACCAGCCTGCTAAAGACCGCCATCGTCCTCATCTACTGGAGATGCTGATCCAGTTACCCCCTCACTCTATGACAGAGGTCACTGTACAGTTTGAAAGGGCCCTGCTCAAATGGACGGAGTACACACCTGATCCCAACCACGGCTTCTACGTTGGGTAAGACACTTGCTTATCAAGTATTTTGAAAGATCTCACCTCCAGGTTCTTTTGCAAGTCAGGAATTTTTGACTTAAGAATAATTGTTGTTGATGTATTTGTTACATATCCTGTGTGTCACTCCCTATATCTGATTGATGTACCATCATTATGTTATTGCAGGTCATCTGTCGTCAGTGCCCTTGTGCCAAGTATGGTTGCAATGAGCACCAACTTCACACAAGATCAACCATTGTTTAGCAGTTTGTAAGTATGAAGCGGCCTTGGTGTTAAAGGAATAGTTCATCCAAAAATGAACGTTTTCTGAAAATGTACTCACCCTCAGGCAATCCAAGATGTAGATGAGTTTGTTTCTTCATCGGGACAGATTTGGAGAAATTTAGTTTTGCTCACAGTGGATCCTCTGCAGTGAATGGGTGCCGTCAGAACCAAACAGCTGATAAAACATCACAATAATCCACAAGTAACCCACACCTCTCCAGTCCATCAATTAACATCTTGTGAAGTGAAAAGTTGCGCGTTTGTAAAAAACAAATTCATTATTCAGGCGTTTCAACTTTAAACCATTTCTTCCGGCTAAAATATGAATCTTTAATCCATAATATTTCTCCAATGAAAAAATCATTTAGTCTGAATCAGGAGAGAAATATACACAGATCAAGCTCTGTTTATAAGTGAAAACAGTCCAAAACAGTTCTAATCAATTTTGATGTAAGACGACTACAGGGGATAGACTTTTTCACTGGAGGAAGCGTTATTATGGAGTTTAAAAACGTCTTAATCATGGATTTGTTTCTTACACTGACTGGAGGGGTGTGGATTACTTGTGGATTATTGTGATATTTTTTATCAGCTGTTTAGACTCTCATTCTGACGGCACCCATTCACTGCAGAGGATCCACTGGTGAACAAGTGATGTAATGCTACATTTCTCCAAATCTGATGAAGAAACAAACTCCTCTACATCTTGGATGGCCTGAGGGTGAGTGAATTTACAGAAAATGTAAATTTTTGGATGAACGGTTTCTTTAATAGTAAATAAGTGTACCTTATTTGTTTTCTTTGTTTATAACATTTCACCTCTGACTTCCAGTGTCCCAGTCAAAGAAGAATCAAGCTACTTTGTTCGAGTGTATACCGAACCACTGCTGGTAAATCTACCCACGCCTGACTTCAGCATGCCCTACAATGTCATCTGCCTCACCTGCACGGTGGTCGCGGTGGGCTACGGCTCCTTTTACAACTTGCTGACCCGCACCTTCCAGGTGGATGAACCGAGTCCACCGCTGGCGAAACGATTGGCCAACTTCATCCGCCGCATAAGGGGAGTGCCACTGCTGGCTTAAACTGCTGAGAGCAGGTCTGGCACCTTAAATGTCCATATTAGGAAGCAGAGAGAATCGTGATGCTTAAACGGCAGCTGCTGAAGTTTTAAGATGCTTTTCAGGCCTGGAAGGACTTGATGCCAAGTGACTGTTCTGAACTTCTGTTGAACAAATGAGCTACCAAAATGGATTAGCCTCCTTTTTATGTTTTGTTTTGTGAGTCGCATAAGTAAAGATTAGCCACTTTTGTTTTGTGAGTCACATATGTAAAGTCATTTTTGCAATGTTGTTCTAGAAAACGATAACTTGCTGTCACATGAACATTTCTCAAAGGAACTGCATGGTTCGGGCATCTGGGAGAAATATAGATGGAAGAGCATGATGTTAAGTCGTCTCAGTGTACCAAGCCTCACTTAAACACAGACACTACAATCCAACTACTGGAACTGGACGTCTAAGAATGTGGCAAATATTTTCCACGTTCTGTAATGCACTGATATTTAAATGTGTTGTTTTTTTTGTTTTGTGCATTTGCCTCACCACATAATGACCTCCAGATTGGGTGTTATTGAATTCAAATTCTGAAGATCTATAACACTGGTTAACTTATCCATAATAAACTGACTGGAAACCCATAACGTGCTAAGAACAGTTTGACTCTTTAGTGCAACAAGTTTTGTTCGTGCCTCAAGGGATTTTGCAGAAGATTTTTTTTTGAGGGTTTAGGAAGCTATTTGGCATCCCGCTCAACTGTGCCATTCTGTTTGAATTCGGTGAAAGAGTCTCCACATTGGCTGATTGTAAATCTTTCAGTTATCTGTTATATGACTTGGAAATTTGTAACATATGCACTTAAATTGAAACGAAGAGATTTGCGGTAACTCACTGGTTGTCAAACTAAAATCTACCACTGATCAAATCATACTATCCAAGTACCACATCATCAGCTTCCCTGTTTTTGCCTGGCACTGCTGACTCAAGTATGTCGGCTACAATGTGTCCTAACTAGGCACAATACAAAACAAATTTCCAAAGACAAGCAATTTGTAGGTCCACAATGAATGTGAAACTGCTGTGCAACATGATACAGTCCTAGTCAATCGGAAGAGATTTGATGTTGAATGTATAATTATGAATGGGATTTGTAGTTGACGGTGCTACACAACATCATGCCATAGGAATGGAAACCAAGCAACTGACAAAATAGATAAGGAATTTATATATATATATATATAAGCAAAAATGTCAACAATTCTGTGTTTTTCTGTCAATATGGGGTGCTGTGTGTACATTAATGAGGGAAAAAAATTAACTTAAATGATTTTAGCAAATGGCTGCAATATAACAAAGAGTGAAAAATTTAAGGGGGTCTGAATACTTTCCGTACCCATTGTACATCATTCAAAAGTTTGGAGTCTTAAATCTTTTTTTAAGAGATTTTAAAATCATTCTAATATGCTGAAGTGATGCTCAAGAAAATGTCTTAAATATTTCTTAAAGTTCAAATTAACAACATTATAAATGTCTTTTGAGTTTATAGATCTTTTAATCAAATTAATGTGACCTTGCTAAATAAAAGTATGAATTTCTTTAAAAGAAATAAATAAAAAAAACACCAAACTTTTGAATGGTCGTGTATATATAAATATATGTTGAATAATCAAATGTTGTGTTTCTTAAACACAGGATGTAAACTTAGCTGTTTCCCACCAGACAGAATTCAAGGTCTTTTCACATTCCTGGAAGCTGATGCACATTAACCTCGGTTTAGCACAAATTCTCTTCATTTTTGCACTTTCTTCTCCTCTCTTTACATGACTAAATTGCTAAAAGTGCAGTGTTACCCAGCATTCTCTGACCGTTTCATTTCTGGTAGGTTAGTACTTTAGTTCAAAGCTTTTCCATCACTGTCATGTTTTTGCTGACAATTATTTTGACCCTTTTGCTGCCAAGCTCCTGGAGAGGATGGAAACAGAGGTCTCTTTCATTACAAGACGTTTTTGCACGTGTTTGGGTCTCGGGGAGGGGAACTTGTACATTCCTAAGCACTGATGCCAATGAGCTGTTAAGTGAGAAGAGAACAGCCAAACGAACACTGGCATACCAAAAATACCAACTCTTCAGTGAAGCTATTTTCTTTGTTATTTCGTGCCCAAAAATACACAACCACTGGAAGGTTTACTGAAACTATGAGGTTTATTCGGTGGTTATAAATGAGGAAAACAACCCCTATGAATAAAGCACTAAATGGCAAAAAAAAGTATGTATTATTATGCAAAATTAATCCACCAAAGACTCTTTCCGATGGTTAAATCAGCACGGTTCACTGCATGCATCCCCTTCGGTAGAGCACATCGACCAGGCTTCACTGCATGGACACAGACAAACAGTGTTCAGTCTCAGATATACTGCACAAAACACTCAAAGCAACATCATTTTACTTACAGAGTGAATTGTACTAAGTATTATTTCATGTTTATTCATTTTGTAAAGCCACCCTGTGTCTGGAATAGTGCTATATTATATATAATATGTAAAAATTATTAAATAAAATAAAACAAACTGAAAGGCAATGGGAAAGCTGCCCAAAAGCTGTAAACAAAAATTCCTAACATATAACAACATAATAACATTACATAATACTTATTATAAAATAAGACACAAACTGAGATGCCATGAGAAAGCTGACCGAAACAATATAATATAATATACCTGTATATGGAGCCATACATTCATGTCCACATCCATTGCTGCAGCATTTCTCATTGTTCGGACAGTCACTGTCATTGACAGAACTCAGCACACATTCCTGCTCCAAATGTTCTGTGTGGACACTCCTGGCTTTGCTGTTATACAGATACATGACAGAGAAACCATACCACTGCATGCTGAATGCCTTACTGTATATATACATATTCTATATATATATATATATGACTTACTGTATGTATGTATATATATATATATACTATTTCAGCCTTTCAACGAAATGTAATGTTTAATGCAATGTGTTACTTGCTGTTTCTTACTGAAAGCAGGTGGCACACACACAGCCCCGCAGTCAAAGACACAGCATTTGTGTCCTCCAGAGCAGTCTTTATCAGAAACACATCCCCGACTGGACGGCACGACCGTCAGCTTCGCCGGACAGTGACCCACCACTACAGAAGAGCAGCATCATAAGAGAGGTCAGGGAGTGATGTAAGAGTTTGCTTCAGCATCTTTAAGTCAGTGGTTTTCCATTATGTGTCTCAAACTTTAATAACATATTCACATATTTATCTGCTTCAAATTGAAGTAGTTCATAAATCTACTATTTATGCCTAAACTGTGTCAGCTAGCTTGAAATACAAGGTGCTTTTACAACCTACACGTTCAAAAAGAATTTTTCGAAGTTGTAAATTGAAGTATGATTATTGGAATATGTTTTACAAGAAAATACTGTTTCAGTCTTTCTACTTGAACATTTCACATTTAATTCAATGTTACCTGTTTTTGTTTGTAATTATTGGCTGAATTTTACTAGCAATTTCGGAGTGAAAATTGTTTCAGTTGTGTTTGGTGTGTTGTAATAGTGAATATTAATACTAATAGAAAAACATGGACATCAATTTATATTTTGTTAATGAATTTACTACTGAAACCAAATGGATGTGTTCAAATGAACTGTTATGCCATCCTCGTGGCTGCCAGTACAGTATTTCATCTTAAGCATTTTGATTCAAAACAACAGAAACATTTTGAGTTAATAGACTGAATACAATAAACCCATCAGACTTTTATTGAAGAACAAATAGCAGAGTACAGTAGTCCTTTAAAGAGTTAGAAGTTATAATTAAATCCCTTATAGTTAATTATAAGGGAGTTAAAATACAAACCATTTCGAAGAATTTGTTTCCAGGAATGGTGGCATACATCTCTGGTAAAAAAAAAATAAAATAAATCGTAACCATGTTAATATTAATATTCTTGTTTTACTGTAAAAAATAAATAATATTTTTTTGAGAATGTATGTATTTAAACTGAAATAATGTACATAGTTCACCTTTCACTGGACGTCTGTAGGCTACTGCATGTCATATTTTGTCAGGTACGTTTATGCATGTCTTCATGGAACATGGATCTTCTCACCTGTGCATGTTGTGGTCAAGCATCCGGCATGCTCTCGAGCTGCGACACACAGTGCGCTCTGCTGGAAGCGCGTGCGGAGGAGGAGAGCTGCAGGAGTCCGAGGCGCGAGGCACACAAAACTAACATGAACAAAAAACGCGTTGCTGGATCAGAACATCTGCTGAACTCCGCAACATAAAATAGGCTATTCAGTTCTGCTTAATACTTTAGAATAACTTCACCATCATCATCACAGTCCGTTTAGGTAAAGCGGAGGGGGCGCCAATGAGCGCATATTCTGGCGTTACATATGAGCAGAGTTGTGATAGAGTGGCACGACCACCCTGAAATATGACCGCCGCCCCCACTGAATCCCCCAACATTATTGGGCTAGAGTACTGTCAATCTGACGATGCCTGTATGCCATTGGATCAGAGCGCTGTCAATTGTTGCCTGATTGTTGCATGCAAAGTTTGCATTTGGAGCATTTTCTCTCTCTCTTTTTTTTTTACCATGCAATAAAGCTGAGTTCAAAGGCAATTTATAAAACTGGGACAGTAAAATGTGCACAAAATCAGTATTTTGTTAGGGCAGTATTTGAGGCAGTCATAAATCAATCTGGTCAAATCACGAAATGGGTTGATAGCATAATATTGCAGTGTGTACTGTAGAGGCAATACACACAGACAGAGACAGAGAGAGTGCTTAAAGGGGTCATATGATGTTGCTAAAAAGAACATTATTTTGTGTATTTGGTGTAATGAAATGTGTTTATGCGGTTTAAGGTTCAAAAAACACATTATTTTCCACATACTGTACATTATTGTTTCTCCTCTATGCCCCGCCTTTCTGAAACGCTCGATTTTCACAAAGCTCATCGCTCTGAAAAGCGAGGTGTGCTGTGATTGGCCAGCTATCCAGTGCTTTGTGATTGGCTGAATACCTCAAGCGTGTGACGGTAATGTTACGCCCCTCACCATACTGTGATGCCCTGTCTGGCCGGAGCGACGAGACAAAAACATTAAAACCCGTTACAAACTAGGCATTTGTTGCATCCAGTGGGGACATAATTACAGATTATAATGACTTATACTGTCTTTTTACGTGTTGCGTTGCATCACGCCACGTAAACATAAAACCATGTCTGCATTTGTGATCGGAGAAATGACAAACAACAAGCGCTACTCTACACTGCTCAAAACTCACGTTTGAATCGTCAGTGGCAAATACTTTAAATATGAAAAACATACTTACAGTCTGTGAGTCAGAACAGCCGGCATTGTAGTCTACTCTCCCAGGATCAGGAAACAGTCCTCCATAAAATGCGCTGCACACATCTAAATATTTGGGTTGAACTGTTCTGGAACAGTGTTGTGAATACAACTTAACCACTGATATCTAGTCGTGTCCTCTTTAGGAAGGCGAAACAAAGTAGTTTTGCAATCGCTTTCACAACGAAACACAGCGTCACACACGGCGGGCTAGAGTCGCATCATATGACCCCCTTTAAGTGAGTGTGCATTTATATTTTGCCTCTAGAAAACTTTCTTTTCTAACTTGCACCTCAAAAAGGTGTGCGTTTTTGCACCAATGCATGGCTAAAGGAACAGTGTGTTGTGTAACATCAAAGATATTAAGGAATTCTATAGTCTTATAAAACTTCAATGGCCAATTAAAAAATATTGGTATAGTAAAATTCGCCAATTCACAAGATCAGTACATCCTTTGTTAAACCGCTTTGTCGAATTGAATGAGTGTGCATTTATATTTTGCCTCTAGAAAACTTTCTTTTCTAACTTGCACCTCAAAAAGGTGTGCGTTTTTGCACCAATGCATGGCTAAAGGATCAGTGTGTTGTGTAACATCAAAGATATTAAGGAATTCTATAGTCTTATAAAACTTCAATGGCCAATTAAAAAATATTGGTATAGTAAAATTCGCCAATTCACAAGATCAGTACATCCTTTGTTAAACCGCTTTGTCGAATTGAAACGCATCCTTAAAGAAGTGTTGAAATGCTGAATCAATTAATTCGCTTCTAACAGCACTTAATGGGAGCAGCGTCACACACATAGAGGGCAGAGCGTCGCATCATTTAAAGGGGAATAGGAATAGGTATTTCGCCTAGGGCAGGGGTGTAAAACTCAATTCCTGGAGGGCCGGTGTCCTGCAGAGTTTAGCTCCAACACCTGCTTAGAAGTTTCAAGTATACCTAGTAAGACTTTGATTAGCTGGTTCAGGTGTGTTTAATTAGGGTTGGAGCTGAACGCTGCAGGACAGTGGCCCTCCAGGACCCAGTTTTTGTGACCCTTGGCGTCAAAATGGCTAGAAAAGGGAACAGTAAATACTCATGCTTTCAAGTTGTTTTTGTTTGCATTTTCTCAATGGTAGTTGCTCAACTTGCACAATGTAACCCCATTCAGGACGATGCCATCTTTACATAATGGGCACTCAGTTCCAGAAGTGTAAGTATTTTTTTAATCACTCTATCTGTAAAAGCCACGTGACTGTAGTAGAGCCATCCATATAAGTTTGCAATGTATTGCTTAAGTTTGGATGAAGTAAGATAAGATACTTTTTTTTGCCACATAATAGTTTGAATTTAACTTTGTACGATGCAATCATACCAGACATGGTTTAAACTTGTTTTATGGCAGTGTGTGGGCTGATCTGAAACTAATCTCTTACACACTGGTTAATTTTACTCGAAGAAACCTTAGTGGAAACCCCTCAATTTCTCCATGGAAGCAGTTGCACAGGACAGCTTCCCCCCCCCCCCCAAGGATTTTTGGGAAAAAAGAACTGGCATTTCCTCTGTGGATGAGGCACATAGAGATATTTGTCAGCAGTCATGCATGTTAGCAGTGCCATATGATTTCAAGTGAATAGGACTCTTTGTATAGAATATAAAATTGACTGTATGCATCTCTTTAGAATAGATTACGCACTGACAGTAATGTGCATCTAGTGGAATGCTGTAAAGTTTTATGTGATCACTAGATGGCAGGTGACTGGTGCTTAAAACTAAGCTGTACTGTAGGTGTCTGTGCTCTCAATGCAGTGTATAGTGCTGTAAATGAAAATCACATTTGGGGCCTTTAGAGAACAGTATGTGTGATGGGCTATGCTCTCGAAAGATAAAATATTTTTCAAATGTGATTCACAGATATACAAAAAACAATGCAATCAAAGGGCCATATAAAGCTTTGAGAACTGGGGCCAGTTGCATAAACAAAGCCACATATGCCTTATCTAGTCTAACCAACTACTAGTTAGCCAAGAGATAATAATCTGTCTTACTTTTTGGATTAAAATTAGACCAATATGTTTTTATGTAACTGACTTATTCAAGTTATGACCAGAAAAAAAAGGCTCAGATATTAAAACTTACATTTTTGAAATTAACAACTATGCAGTATTGGTGGAATGATAGTGTTTTATGTATATGTGTGTATTCAAAATCAGTCAATAAAAAGGTTCTGTTAGACATATAAAGGCATCAAATTATATGGGGGAAAAAATCTCTTAAACGTTGTTTAGTGTTTTTTTGCACTGGCTAAATAAACTGCTGTGACCAGAAGTTTTAAAAGTACTCTAAAAATAAAGGTTAAAACTGTAGTTTACAGCATCACAAAAACATATTACTATGTGAAGGCTTCTGTATTTGACAAATTCATTCATAATTTACACCAAAAGAGGAAATTCCCTTTACTTTAAGAATTCATACTGCATTCTTCACTGAAAATCAAATCAGTCCAAGGCAGCTGAATGTAAACAGTAGAGTTTAGAGTAGACAGCCTCGCTTAATTCTTTCCATTGTCCACTCTAAATAATGTGCGCTAGAGGTGCTGAAATGAAGGTTGATATGTTTCTGTAGCTCAAGGCTACTAAATACAAGACGCAAAACAACTGGGCTGCAACTCGTGACAGCTGAAAATAAGGAATCAAGTGGTTCAAACGTTCTGTGTGTCACACCACAACCCAGTTCAGTATTTTATAGAATGCAAAAATAAAGGGTAACAAGTTCAAGTTCAATTTTTTAACATTAGTTAATGCACTACAGCTATCATGAACTAATAATAAATGCAGCAGCATAATACATTTTTATATATTACACTATTGTTGCTTGTTAAAATATTAGTTCATAATACGTAATGCATTAAAGGAATAGTTCACCTAAAAATGAACATTTACTAACCCTTAGGCCATTCAAGATGAGAGAAATGTAACATTATTTATCAGTGAATATTCCCGTCACAATGAGAGTCCAAACAACACAATAATCCACACGACTCCAGTCCATCAATTAACATCTTGTGAAGCGAAAAGCTGCATGTTCGTAATAAACAAATCCAACACTAAGGCGTTTTAACTTTAAACCATTGCTTCAAGCTAAAATACAAGTTCTTGAATCATAATGCAAGTTTTATAAGTGAAAACCGTCCAAAACAGTTCTGAACAAATTGGATTTTGATGTGAGAGCACAACTGGGATGAACTTTTCCACTGGAGAAAGTGTTATTATGGATTATGGACTTTCTTACAAACACTTCACAAGACACTAATTGATGGACTGGAGTCATGTGTATTATTGTGATGCTTTTATCAGCTGTTTGGAGTCTCATTCTGACGGCACCCATTCACTGGAGAGGATCCACTGGTGAGCAAGTGATGTAATGCAACATTTCACCAAATCTGTTCCGATGAAAAAACAAACTCATTTACATCTTGGATGGCCTGAGGGCGAGTACATTTTCAGCAATTTTTCATTTTTGGCTGAACTATTCCTTTAAGTAATGTTAACGAATTGAATCATATAGTAAAGTGTTACCAAATATTAAAATAGGCTATAATAAATGCTACGGAAATGTGCCCATGAAATGTATACGAGTTTTAAAGTGATAGAAAAGTTGTGCATTATATTACTTAGTATTAATTCCACAGGTTTCCTTAGTAATCTATCATACATATTGCTTTCAGAAACATCCCTCAAAAATGCTAATACTCATATAAAAAAGAAAAAAAAAATCCTGAATGTTTACGGGACATCTTCACTTTTGCCCTTAGCCCTGACCAGCCCCTCGCTGTCCTCGATGCTCTCTTTGATTAGACACTCCTTTAGGTTCGGCTGATTCCTGATATCAATGCCCTGCTCCTGGATCTCCTGCAGAAGAGCTTCCCAGCGCTGCTTGTCCTTCGAGATCTTCCAGGACAGTCTGACGTTGGATTGGAGGAGTGGGATAAGCAGAGGGTGCAACTGGTGCTGCTGACACCGCATCCAGTGTAGACAGCATCACTGATTATAATGGGTTCTATAGTATATTGTCGCGCCGCTCGCATCCGGTGTAGACACGGTGTAAGACTGGACTTACAGTGCATAAAGAGTTATATGCTGACCACATGCAAAACTATAAGGTTGCTCTCTCTACAGCAAAAATAAATATTATTATGCCAGTTTAATTGGGTCTGGTGTGGGAAATACAAAATCTCTTTTTTTTCTGTGGTTAATAATATTTTAAATCCACCAGATTCTTTTACTCCTAATATATACTCCATGGCACTGTGTGAGGCATGTCATTTTTTAACAAGAAGATTGAAAACATCCATCAGCAAATGTTTGTACCAAACCCAGATTGTCAGTAAATCTATCCTAGCTCTGCACAATCTTTCCACTTAAATTTTTCTACTTTTAAACTACCAACTACTGAGGAAATTGTCTCTATTGTACGAAAATCCAAATCTGCACCTTGTCAATTAGATCCTATTCCAACTTACTTGCTTAAAGCTGGTTTACCGGTTTTTTCTTCTTTAATCACTGATATTATGCATGCCTCACTTCTTTCTGGTACTGTTCCTCCTGTATTAAAAACTGCTGTAATAAGACGTATTCTCAAAAAAACAGGGGCAGATTCAAATAATTTTGAGAATTGTTATCCTATTTCTAATTTACCGTTTCAGTCAAAAATTCTTGAAAGGACTGTTGTATTCCAGCTCCAGGTTCATCTCTCTCTTAATAGTTTATATGAGCAGTTTCAATCAAGGTTTCATCTGTATCATAGTGTTGAGACTGCACTTGTGAAGCTTTCTAATGATTTATTAGTAGCTGCAGACTCAGGTCTTTTATCAATGCTTATTCTTTTAGAATAAAGTTAAGTGCAGCATTCAATACCATCTCACACCCCATACTGTTGAGTAGACTGGAGTCCATTGGAATCACAGGTACAGCTCTGTGTTGTTCGTTCCTATTTTATGTATTAAATTTGTAAAACTTAAGCAGTTTAAATCAAATTCTACACCTGTTACCACTGGTGTCCCGCCGGGCTCTGTTCTGGGACCTCTTTTGTTTATCTTTTACCAATTGGTTTTATTTTTTAGGAAATATGGGGTTCAATTTCATTGTTACGCTGATGAAACCCAACTTTATCTATCTTCAAAACCTACCATTGTGTTTTCTCCGACTTCTCTTGTTCAGTGTTTAGATGAAATAAAAACCTGGTTTTCATGTAATTTTCTCAAACTTAACAGTAATAAAACAGAAATACTTCTTGTCGGTTCAAAAAACACTCTGGCCAAGTCAAGTAGACGGTCTATGACAATTGACAATTCTCTAGTTTCTATATCTAAACTGGTTAAAAGTCTGGGTGTCATCTTGGACAGCACTTTAACATTTGAAGCTCATATTAACGTTACTCGTTCAGCATTTTTCCATATACAAAATATTCTTCGTCTCCATCCTGTACTCTCAACAAAGAGTACTGCTATCCTTGTATATGCTTTAGGGTAACACTTTATAATAACTTTCATTTATAAATCATTAAAAGACATTATATAATGCTTAACAGATCATTAGTTAATATATATTCACATAGCTAGAAATATGAGATAATGTTCTTGTTCATGTTTACTACTGAACTTACTAACCATTACCTAATGATTAACATATGATTATTTAATGTAAATTGAAATGATTTGTATACTGTATATCTCTTTGAATATATATATTAACTAATGATCCATTAAGCATTATATAATGTTTGTTAATTATTTATTAATGAAAGTTATTATAAAGTGTTACCTGCTTTAGTAACATCATGAATTGACCACTGTAATTCCTTGTTTTATGAACTCCCTTCTAAATTTTTACACAAACTTCCGCTAGTTCATAATGCGGCTGCACGAGTTATTTCCAAAACTTCCATATCGGAGCACATCTCTCCTGTGCTACAAAATCTGCATTAGCTCCCTGTTAAATATCGCATAACTTTTAAATCTTGCTTTTAACTTACAAATTACTTAATAATTTAGCTCCCTCATACTCATCCGATCTCCTTTGTAGAAATACTCCTACACGTATCTTACGATCTGCCTCTGCGCTCACTCGGACAACTTCTATGGGGTCACAAACTTTTGGTTATGCTGCTCCGTATCTATGGAATTCACTACCGGTGGATATTCGTAATAGTCAAAGTCTTGTGGTTTTTAAATCTAGACTTAAAACTTATTTAGGCAGGCGTTTATGTAATGTTTAGTTGCAGGTAGGCTGTGCTGCCCTATTGTTTGATGATTTTGTTTACTAATATATGGTGTCCTTAAGTGTCGTGAAAGGCGCCAATAAATAAAATGTATAATAATAATAATATATATTTTTTAAAATGTCTAAGAAAAAAATATATAAAAAAATATTTTAAAATATTAGCCCACCAATCAAAGTTATGTAGCGTGACCAATAAAGTCTTTATGGAGACTTTGAAGATTTCTAGAATCCTTAAATAACATTTTTAGAGTTATGGAGATTTTTAGAGTCCTTAAATTTACATACAAATTTTTCAAAACCATATAAAGCCAATATGTATACAAAGAGTACATTTAATTTTCTAAAACTTACGCGTTTTAAACTAGATTTTTACAAGACTTTTCCTTTTCTTGAGTGTGAACAGTCTAATTGGTCTTTTTCCCAAATATTAAATGCTTGTTTGAATGTTGGTATAAAAACTGTTTTGGTAACTTTCAAAAAAAAAAAAAAAAACTGGCCGACTGAAAAATGGTTCTTGAAACTTGACTGAAATGGTTCACAGTTGGGGTTAGTGTACTTACCACATACTTGGAATTTGTTTCATGGACAACACTGGCATCAATCACCTCAAAAATGAGTTTTTCAGGAATGCAACGAGTTCTTGAGCTCCGCCAGTTTTCTTGCCGTTGTCTGGTGATCATGTTCGAGGTTTTTGGGGAAGGCCCTATAGGGCTGGTCTCTATAAACCAAAGACAAGATTAACTGCAACTGTGAAGCATCAAGTGAACTAAAAGTGAACAAAAAAAAGAAGTAGTGAAATCTGCCTACAAACACATTATTGTAAATTCACAAGAACCATATCCAACAAGTTCAGAGTGCACTTAAAGGAAGAGCTTGTTCCAACCACAGGCTGTTTTTAAAAGAAGTATTTTTCCATACAATGGCAGTTCACAATGACCACAGCTGACAGATTTTACATCACTGACACCAAAAAACACTGCTTTCCAGATTGTTTGGCCACACATCAATTTGAAACCACAGAATGGAGAAAGTGATTCAAGAACTGCAAGTGCTGAGATGATGTCCCAAATTTGAATCTAGTCCTTATCGTATGACTTCAGAACATTTGCTATGTGCCGTGTAAAGTCAAACGGACTAATTTTTTGGTGTGTTTTATTTTTGTCTTTTTTTGGAGCTTGACAGCTCCGATCAATAATAATAGCATACACTACTGTAAAGCTGAAAGTTTGGGGTCAGTAAGATTGTATAAATATTAGTTTTATGCAGCTGGGAAGCATTAAACCGATCAAAAGTGACAGTAAAGATGTTACAGAAGATTTCTATTTTAAATAAATGCGGTTTTTCGTTTTAAATTTTCTATTCATCAAAGAATCCTGAAAACAAAGTTATATAATTTCCACATTTATGATAATAATAATAAATCTTTCTTGAGCATGAAATCAGCATGATTTCTGAAGGATCATGCGACACTGAAGACTGGAGTAATGCTGCTGAAAATACAGCTTTGCATCACAGGAATAAATCACATTTTGAAAATATATTAACACACAAAAAATGCTATTTTAAACTGTACCAATATTTCACAATATTTATGTTTTTACTGTATTTTTAATCAAATAAATGCAGTCTTGGTAAGCATAAAAGTCTTCTTTAAAAACATTACAAAATCTGAATTAAATCCTAAACTTTTGAACCATAATATAACTTTTGGAGCAACACATGGGTGAGTAAATGAATTTTCATTTTAGGGTGAACTATCCCTTTAACAGCTTCTGAATGTGAATCCTGGACTTCAGTTCAATCTGGAAAGCAGTGTTTTTTGGTGTCAATGATGTAAAATCTGTCAGCTGTGGTCATTGTGAACTGCCATTCTATTCTACTCATACCTTACAACTCCGGCTTTGAAAAACACACGTGTTATTGATGACTACCTGTGCTGCTACATGCATTATCTACAGACTCTCCAAAGAAGTCAGAGTCGCTGTCTGGCCCCGACGCGTCTCCTGCATCCTCAGAGTCCAGGACCCCTTCCCCCTCAAAGCACAGGGTTCCTCCGAGTCTTGCCGACACGCAGTCCGTGTCGTCCTCAAGCTCAGAACTCTCTGGAAAGTCCTCTGCTCCGTGACCGTCCGTCTCCGAAGGAAGCTCCCCTTCTTTGAACAGTGTACGGCGAAGTCTGTCGAATAGTTTAGAGGCCATCCCAGCTTTTCTCCAACCCTGAAGAGCACAACAGACACACGATCCCAACACCACCTTGAGAAGCATTCCTGAATACAACAATATGTGTTCAAATCATGACTTGTGGCAGATCTGGTAAAACTACTGATTAGCAAAAGTGTCAAACAAGCCTACAGAGTGAGCCAGTAATGGAAACACTGAAACTCCAAACCTCTCATGAACTTTCATTGAGCTGCGTTTCACAGACAGCAGAGAAACTGATCTGTCACATACATATTTATTATTTATAGAGGGGTTTGGTGAAAAGAGCCTCACGGCAGCATAGGATTTCTGCAATCCTGAAGTCTGAGTAAAAGCAGATGCCACAACAAACATTTATCACTAAAGCTTAGAGCACATACATAACGCAAAGTCTCATTAACACTTAACATACAGCAAATTTGAAGTTCTCCTAATAATTCCCATAACCAAACTATATGCATAATCATTCATTATTTACACATGTGAAAACACCCATGAAAGTGGGAGCGTGTCGGAGTCTTAGCTTTGCTAGGTGCTTGCTAATAACGCCGAGCTGAAGCAGCAGCGCTTTCAAGCATTATGAGAAGAAAATGGACCATAATCAAACAAATTAATCTCTTAAATCCAGCAAGTCTCTGATAAGCAGCACTAAAAAGACGCAGAGTTTGAGCTTAACTCGCTCAACTTTTCTTGCTAACTATGGCTAATCCTAACATTTCAACTCCAAAGGGATGAAGAAACACATGAAACACATGGATATCTGCACTTACGCGAGTCACAGACCTCTACACCAAATACGATCAGCTCTGCATGCTGCTGGATAACTTATTGTCATGTGCAAATAAAGAGCCGGAGCGGTGTAAACATGGATGGGGGGGTAATCGCTGACCATTAGAAGTGGGCGGACACTCGCCGGACAACTGAGAAAACATTTAACATACTTTCTTAAAAATATATTTCTTAATATATTTATATATAATGTTGTGCCTTTTTGTGCAGCTTGGCTTTTAACGAATAATTATTTAATTTATCATGTAAATGGTTTAAAACGAAATTGTTCCAATAAAAAGTGTTTTTATTGTGTAATTTATCTGGCATCCAAATTTCACTTCGAGCATGTGAACATGATTCTGTGACCTATATATTCAAGCTGCATATTTATTACATCAAAGCTGCAGCTTTCTCGCTTTTTCGGCTTTTTATAATAACATGGCTTTAAAACTGGAAGTCAGTTACTCCTAAGTGATTCATCACAATTAAAAAAAAACAACGTAATTTGGTAATGTACAGTGAAACTAGTCGCAGGTTGGATTACTTTATGTCTTTCAGTTACACTCCAGTCTGACAGGTGGCGCTGAACGCAACTCATGTTAGCGCGGCAAGCAGAGAGAGGAAGAACATCAGCAAGACGCGGTAACAAACAAACAAACAAACAAACAAATATCATAACAGTCCTCATATCGCTTTGGGTCTGTGTAATGTTATGGCATCCAAAAAGACCTTAAACATACGTAAAGTGGAGAAAACAGCTTCGAGTGACTCGAAAAAGTAAGATTTCACATTTAGTTCTTTAATTCATTGTTTATATATAACTTGTTGCTTGTACAATATAAACAGCAGTCTGACTCAGTTGTGTTTTTACATAGTTTTCTGTAAAGTATTATATTTATTACCTCTTGTGAAAACACTTGTGCTAATGTTGGTCTTGTAAAGTTGGATATTTAAAATGTGTTTATTTAAATATATGTTAGAATATTTCCTCACCGTGACCCAGGCGACATAGTTCGGAAATGACAATGAATAAACCAACCTGACTTGCTTTAAAAATGAAAAGTAAAGTAATTTATGTGTTTGACATTGACATTATTACGCCATACAACTAAAAGTCATGAAATATCTGCATCTGTTACTTAAGTAAAAGTGGTTCAAAGTCCAAATTTAACTCATTTGGACATCACAAATTAATATCAAGTTGTCATTTAACTCATTCTTTTTTAAGTCATTTGCCACTGCCATTGATGCCACGAGACACAAGCTTCCTGTGAAGAACGTGGACATCGGAGAGGACGCAGGCCAGTTTTTAGGTCAGATTTGTGGGGTGGATACTATTTTATAATTTGATGTACTTTCTATTTGCAAATGTTTTGTCAATTCAAATGATGATTTTAGATTTTATAGTGATTCCAACCTGATTTATTGAATAATTTTTCTCTTACACAGACAAAGCTGTTGAATGTCTGAATCAGAGTGCACAAGTCTTGCAACACTATACAAAGGACATGCCCACTGAGTGTGAGGCTTCAACGGAGTGTCTTAGAGAGATGAACAATACAGCTAATGAAATCAGCCAACAGTTGACAAGGTAGGAGCACTTCAGTCTCCATATATGAAAGACTCGCACCTTACAGAGCTTGATATTTTCTCTGTGCCATTCTTTATTTACAGGTGCATCTCAATAAATTAGAATGTCATGGAAAAGTTCATTTATTTCAGTAATTCAATATTAGTGTATTAAATAAATTCAATGCACACAGACTGAAGTAGTTTAAGTCTTTGGTTCTTTTAATTGGAATGATTTTGGCTCACATTTAACAAAAACCCACCAATTCACTATCTCAACAAATTAGAATACTTCATAAGACCAATAAAAAAAACAGTTTTAGTGAATTGTTGGCCTTCTAGAAAGTATGTTTATTTACTGTACATGTACTCAGTACTTGGTAGGGGCTCCTTTTGCTTTAATTACTGCCTCAATTCGGCGTGGCATGGAGGTGATCAGTACTTTAACTGATTCCGTCTTTGTTTGGTTTTATTTTCATTTTAGGACTTTTTCGGATCTTCTGGAGGTGTCTTCATTAGAAAGCCGGGAGACAGTTTTGATCCAGCAGTCACTGGAGGAAGACAAGCTCGGACAGAGCACAGCCCAGACACTCTTCTGTCCCTCCACGTCATGATTATACATTGTATGAATATCACATCGGTTTGCAATTAAATAATTAAAGTATGTAAAAAAAAAATCAATGAATTGTAGGTATTTATTTCATACATTGCTACAGAATGATTAAGTGAATTTGTCATGTTTAATCAGACTGGTGGAGTGTTTTTTTATTTAAAGCATATTGATTCATATGTGTATTATAACTTAATAACACTTTTTAGTTAAGTAGATCAACAGCCTACACAGTATGTATGTATGTAGATAAAGAAATATGTGATACCATACTTATATTTTATTAATAACTTTAAGCCCTTTACACCTAACATTAATTACTGCTAACTGAACTGACTTGTGAAGGGAATTATATAGTAAATTACTCTGGTTGCTTTTAATGGTCAGATATGCAATCCACTTTTCCTACAAAAATAACCATAATAAAATCTATTTGTACCCTGTTTAATTTTTTATAGTTTTCCTGTAGTATTGCACAGTTTATTTCATGCTCATTAAAAAAAATCTGAAATACTTTTATTTTGTGCTTTTTTTTTTTGTATGTTTCAAGCGTACTAAATGATCGGATATGACGTACAGTTGTTTGACAACTGGCGACCAATCGGAGTCGTCTTTACGGCAAGTGACGTCTGAGGAGTTGCCCTCGACCCGACCAATGAACAAGACAGCCATGAGCAGCGCGTGAGTGTCCCTAAAGCTTGTTTTTATTTTGATGAACACGTTATATATAGATGCCGATCAAAAAGCTTAACTGTTAACCATTTGATACAAAGAGTCTCCACAGACAGAAACAGACTTCGTTCGTTGTGACCAAGCTAATGCCGTTACAGTATAAAGCAGCACATACAGCTAGCAGGTTACTGCATGCACATGTCAGATTGTTAATGAACAGAATGTGTTGTGGTGGTGTAGTTTGGGAAGAATACATTTTCAGTCATTGTCAGCAAAGAGCAAAAAACTAGAGATGAAATATACTCTCTCTCTCTCTTACACACAACACATGTCAAAAGTTTAGAAAAATAATATTTAAAAAAAGTCTTGTGTTTACCAAGGACACTTTTTAAAAGAAAAAAAGTTAATACTGTTAAATATTACAATTTTAAGTAGGTGTTTTCTATTTTAATTTATTTTAACATGTAATTTATTCCTGTGACGCAAGGCTGAATTTTCAGCAGCCAATACTTTAATAATTTGCTGCAGTTTTGATCAATTATTATTGATGCCTGTGGTTCTTTTTATTATCAATGTTGAAAAGAGTTGTGCTGCTTAATATTTTTGTGAAAACCAAGTTGTTTTTTTTCAGGATTCTTTTATGAATAGAAAGTTCAAAAGAACAGCATTCATTGGAGTAGAAATCTTTTGATCAATTGAATGCTTCCTTGCTGAATAAACGTATTAATTTAAATCTTATATACCCCGAATGCTAGTGTATCACAAAAACATTAAGCAGCAAAAACTGTTTTCAACATTGATAATAATAAGAAATGTTTCTTGACCAGCCAATCAGTATATTAGAATGATTTCTGAAGATCATGTGACACTGAAGACTGGAGTAATGATGCTGAAAATGCAGCTTTGATCACAGGAATAAGTTACATTTTACAATAAATTAAAATATAAAACAGTTGTTTTAAAGGTCCCATATTGTCAAAACTGAAATTTCCTGGCTTTTTTCATGATAACTGAGGTCTAGGTGCTATGTAACTACCATTTAAGTTTCAAAACAGTAAGTCCACAGTTAAATTCACAAGCCTGCTTAAAGTACTAGGTATTTTTCACGAACCGTTGTGACTTCCGTAAAAAGTTGACGTCAGAACTTTAATTGTGATGATTTTGGCTCACATTTAACAAAAACCCACCAATTCACTATCTCAACAAATTAGAATACTTCATAAGACCAATAAAAAAACATTTTTAGTGAATTGTTGGCCTTCTGGAAAGTATGTTCATTTACTGTACATGTACTCAATACTTGGTAGGGGCTCCTTTTGCTTTAATTACTGCCTCAATTCGGCGTGGCATGGAGGTGATCAGTTTGTGGCACTGCTGAGGTGGTATGGAAGCCCAGGTTTCTTTGACAGTGGCCTTCAGCTCATCTGCATTTTTTGGTCTCTTGTTTCTCATTTTCCTCTTGACAATACCCCATAGATTCTCTATGGGGTTCAGGTCTGGTGAGTTTGCTGGCCAGTCAAGCACACCAACACCATGGTCATTTAACCAACTTTTGGTGCTTTTGGCAGTGTGGGCAGGTGCCAAATCCTGCTGGAAAATGAAATCAGCATCTTCAAAAAGCTGGTCAGCAGAAGGAAGCATGAAGTGCTCCAAAATTTCTTGGTAAACGGGTGCAGTGACGTTGGTTTTCAAAAAACACAATGGACCAACACCAGCAGATGACATTGCACCCCAAATCATCACAGACTGTGGAAACTTAACACTGGACTTCAAGCAACTTGGGCTATGAGCTTCTCCACCCTTCCTCCAGACTCTAGGACCTTGGTTTCCAAATGAAATACAAAACTTGCTCTCATCTGAAAAGAGGACTTTGGACCACTGGGCAACAGTCCAGTTCTTCTTCTCCTTAGCCCAGGTAAGACGCCTCTGACGTTGTTTGTGGTTCAGGAGTGGCTTAACAAGAGGAATACGACAACTGTAGCCAAATTCCTTGACACGTCTGTGTGTGGTGGCTCTTGATGCCTTGACCCCAGCTTCAGTCCATTCCTTGTGAAGTTCACTCAAATTCTTGAATTGATTTTGCTTGACAATCCTCATAAGGCTGCGGTTTTCTCGGTTGGTTGTGCATCTTTTTCTTCTACACTTTTTCCTTCCACTCAACTTTCATTTAACATGCTTGGATACAGCACTCTGTGAACAGCCAGCTTCTTTGGCAATGCATGTTTGTGGCTTACCCTCCTTGTGAAGGGTGTCAATGATTGTCTTCTGGACAACTGTCAGATCAGCAGTCTTCCCCATGATTGTGTAGCCTAGTGAACCAAACTGAGAGACCATTTTGAAGGCTCAGGAAACCTTTGCAGGTGTTTTGAGTTGATTAGCTGATTGGCATGTCACCATATTCTAATTTGTTGAGATAGTGAATTGGTGGGTTTTTGTTAAATGTAAGCCAAAATCATCACAATTAAAAGAACCAAAGACTTAAACTACTTCAGTCTGTGTGCATTGAATTAATTCAATACACGAGTTTCACAATTTGAGTTGAATTACTGAAATAAATGAACTTTTCCACGACTTTCTAATTTATTGAGATGCACCTGTAAACTTTAACTGATTCCGTCTTTGTTTGGTTTTATTTTCATTTTAGGACTTTTTCGGATCTTCTGGAGGTGTCTTCATTAGAAAGCCGGGAGACAGTTTTGATCCAGCAGTCACTGGAGGAAGACAAGCTCGGACAGAGCACAGCCCAGACACTCTTCTGTCCCTCCACGTCATGATTATACATTGTATGAATATCACATCGGTTTGCAATTAAATAATTAAAGTATGTAAAAAAAAAATCAATGAATTGTAGGTATTTATTTCATACATTGCTACAGAATGATTAAGTGAATTTGTCATGTTTAATCAGACTGGTGGAGTGTTTTTTTATTTAAAGCATATTGATTCATATGTGTATTATAACTTAATAACACTTTTTAGTTAAGTAGATCAACAGCCTACACAGTATGTATGTATGTAGATAAAGAAATATGTGATACCATACTTATATTTTATTAATAACTTTAAGCCCTTTACACCTAACATTAATTACTGCTAACTGAACTGACTTGTGAAGGGAATTATATAGTAAATTACTCTGGTTGCTTTTAATGGTCAGATATGCAATCCACTTTTCCTACAAAAATAACCATAATAAAATCTATTTGTACCCTGTTTAATTTTTTATAGTTTTCCTGTAGTATTGCACAGTTTATTTCATGCTCATTAAAAAAAATCTGAAATACTTTTATTTTGTGCTTTTTTTTTTTGTATGTTTCAAGCGTACTAAATGATCGGATATGACGTACAGTTGTTTGACAACTGGCGACCAATCGGAGTCGTCTTTACGGCAAGTGACGTCTGAGGAGTTGCCCTCGACCCGACCAATGAACAAGACAGCCATGAGCAGCGCGTGAGTGTCCCTAAAGCTTGTTTTTATTTTGATGAACACGTTATATATAGATGCCGATCAAAAAGCTTAACTGTTAACCATTTGATACAAAGAGTCTCCACAGACAGAAACAGACTTCGTTCGTTGTGACCAAGCTAATGCCGTTACAGTATAAAGCAGCACATACAGCTAGCAGGTTACTGCATGCACATGTCAGATTGTTAATGAACAGAATGTGTTGTGGTGGTGTAGTTTGGGAAGAATACATTTTCAGTCATTGTCAGCAAAGAGCAAAAAACTAGAGATGAAATATACTCTCTCTCTCTCTCTTACACACAACACATGTCAAAAGTTTAGAAAAATAATATTTAAAAAAAGTCTTGTGTTTACCAAGGACACTTTTTAAAAGAAAAAAAGTTAATACTGTTAAATATTACAATTTTAAGTAGGTGTTTTCTATTTTAATTTATTTTAACATGTAATTTATTCCTGTGACGCAAGGCTGAATTTTCAGCAGCCAATACTTTAATAATTTGCTGCAGTTTTGATCAATTATTATTGATGCCTGTGGTTCTTTTTATTATCAATGTTGAAAAGAGTTGTGCTGCTTAATATTTTTGTGAAAACCAAGTTGTTTTTTTTCAGGATTCTTTTATGAATAGAAAGTTCAAAAGAACAGCATTCATTGGAGTAGAAATCTTTTGATCAATTGAATGCTTCCTTGCTGAATAAACGTATTAATTTAAATCTTATATACCCCGAATGCTAGTGTATCACAAAAACATTAAGCAGCAAAAACTGTTTTCAACATTGATAATAATAAGAAATGTTTCTTGACCAGCCAATCAGTATATTAGAATGATTTCTGAAGATCATGTGACACTGAAGACTGGAGTAATGATGCTGAAAATTCAGCTTTGATCACAGGAATAAGTTACATTTTACAAT